AGGTTTCAAAAACATTTCATAAACTTGAGATCATAAATTACCTTCATCCGTAATCTTTTTACTCAAATTCATGATGGTTCGAAAATTGCTCATCTGATATAAATTATGCAAGCTATTTTCCCATTTGCTAATTACGGTTAGCGTAAGTAGTAATGTGATTAAAATCAAACTGAAGCAATATTAATTTCCAAACGATCTTTTTTGTACTCGAAAATACTTGTTGTTGAAAGGTTTTCATTACAGGGCCAATTTTGTTATACTAAATTTTCAGAACACGTTTTTTGAATTTAAATTGTTGGCATTGAAAGATTTTATGGCGGACAATTTCGCCAAAATAACCAACGTTAGGTACGGTCAAACTCTGGTCAAACAATAAAAAAATGATCTTTTTCGTACTCGAAAATACTTGTTGTTGAAAGGTTTTCATTACAGGGCCAATTTTGTTATACTAAATTTAGTTTAAAAATTTTTTGAATTTAAATTGTTGGCATTGAAAGATTTTATGGCGGACAGTTTCGCCAAAATAACCTACGTAACGTACGGTCAAGAGTTCAGGTTCAAGTATATTCCAGAGTTCAGGTTCAAGTATATGGGGTCTTAATCAGCTGCTGAAATTCCGCAACTTACAAAATATTTTTATGCAAATACTAACTCAGCCCAAAGCAATGATAGAGGAGAACACTTGATAACGATTGCTCGATTGGATAAAACTTACTTTTTTGCTGATTCTTTGGGTCAAAAGAGATCAACCTACTCCTTAATGACAAAAAAGTACCGACAAACGGTTCCGCGAAAACTACAATAAAACTGATAGTATGTGTGAAATTTTTGCAATTTCTTGAGCTTTTCTTCTTTTTAAATTTTTTCAGAAGAACTTGAATAACATTAAGGATGTGCATGTTTTGAATTTGTTCAAAAAATTTTATGTTCAAATGCGTTTTTTATGCTTAAGATTTTGCAGTAAATACATTATACGATGCAGGATGCAGTGAATTGTTTATTTAATTATGTAACCCTTCAAATTTTTTTAATTTTTTTTAAAGAAGCACCTTAGGAGCTAATTTTTGGTGAAACACACAGAGCATGATGATGGAATATAATTATTGTTAATTTGAACGAATTAACAAAAAAGTAAATAAATTTACGTAAATTTCAACCAACTTCTAGTAAACTGAGTAGAGTTCTGAAACATTTACTCTGAGAAAGATGGGAAAAAATTAACATAACAAATATCAGACACAAAAAAATTTAGAAAACTTTATTTTGTCGGTCTAAATTTTTACCAGGGCAAAGCAAATGACGAACTTGAAAGTTAAAATTTTTTTTGGATAGTTCAAAAATTTCAAAAGTTTTCAAATGATTGGAATCCAAATAATAAAGGAGAACGGAAATTAATCGTAGCAAAAATATGAATGAATAAAAAAGTATTTCGAGGAAAAATGAAAACTCGATCAGAAGAAAAAAATTTGATTTGTGGAAACTTATAAAATTTTGCTTTTTGATATCATAGTTCCAATGAGAAGTCCAAGCAGTTTTGATTGGACGTGTTTCACTTTAAAATAAAAACTTGATTTTTTAATCTCTTAAAAAAGCAATTCAAGCTTCAATAATTCCGTAGGAAAGTGCTAATATGCATCTGTTAGATAATTGTGTGAAAATTAGGTGATTAAAAAAATAAGCTATAAAATAACTAATAAAAGGGAGCTGTCATCCTTTCTCCAGATAATCTGGGGGAAAAGGATTAAGTGGGGTATAAAAGCAATCTACCGTAATGAGCAGTCAAATTTCCGCTGATATACCGTAGAGCAGAATAACTAAACTGTCAAACATAATCCCCTCTTGAAAATTTTCCCCAGATAACCTGAGGGAAGATAAATAAGATGAAATGAGTATTTATTAGATTTTGAAAAAATTGTTCTATGATATATTAGTTTACGTTCGAATACTCTAAATCAAAACTTACCATTTGAAACTTACCACTCAGTTTTTTTTCCAGTTTTTCAAGACAAAAATGTTTTATCAAGACAAAAATGATTTTTTTAGAATAAAAACACATTTTCAAGTGAAGCTTGAAAATTTTTTTAAGATTTTCCCAAATTTATTCTCTGAAATTTACCAAACTGAAGTTTTGTAAGAAGCGAAGTTCTTAACAAATCTCAAATCGTAAGAGTTACCTAAGAAACGCGTGTATAGGCAAAACTTTTTGACACTTACCATTTTACCATCTTAATACGTAGCAAAAACTACAACCTATCGTATTAAATTGAAGGTCTTTTACTAAATCATAGAGAAATCTATACACTATCTCAATAGATGGAAACTTTGGGTGCTGAGAATATTTTCTGAAACTTACCATCTTACCATCTCAAACCTTGTATCTTAATGCATGGCAAAACCTATGACCTATCTTAATACATGTGAAATCTTTTTCCCATCTTGATACCTAGCTTGCAGACCGAATGTTCTATTCCCTATCTTAAAACATGGGGGTCTTGCAAACAGTAAATGCTTAGAAAGAGTCATCATTCTCATTAACCAGAGCAGGCAATATGTCACACCGCTGACCCAGGACCTTGTCCCCAGACCTGGTGGCAGGCACGAGATCCGAGAGCGGCAGCTGCTACAAAACGTGATACAAAAACCGCAAAAAAAACCAATTGGCTACAAGAAAGACCGCAAAAAAGTTGCGAAAAACTCAAAACTTGTACATTGTATAGTATAATGGATTTTTTGTTGTAGTTTTTTCAATAAAATATTTTCTCGAAAATTGGGAAAAAAGAACATTCACATAGTATGATGATTACAAGGAGTTCAACTCTCACACCTTTTTCGTCTATCTTAGTCAAGGAAGCAAATGCCATTTTTGCCATGAAGTTCGAATAATCTTGGTTAATCTTTAAAAAAATCCTGGCTGCTCTTGGCAAATTCTTGCCAAAGAATCTTGGAAGATATCAAAGAATCTTCAAGAAAATTCAAAGAAAATTGAAGAAAAAAAACAAAAGTAGCTAATTTTTCTAAAAAGACTTTTGACAATTTGCAAGGAAGATTGGCGATTTTACTTTCAGGATTTTCCAAGATTTCGACAAAATTTTCGACCTTCTTATTGAGGATTAATCTAAAATTTTCTGAAAAAAAAATTAAAAATTCTCCAGAACTTTCGACTTGAAAACTCAATTGTAAAACACTTAGAAATTAGACTTATTACAGTTTTTAAAAAGTCAAATAAAATTATACAATGAAATTATAAACAATCAATGAAATTGTGCGCATAACTAATAATCATCAGAATGAAAATCAGAATAAAAAATTTCAAACTTCTTGGATGATTATCAGCCTTGAAGCAATTTTAGGCAAACAGATACAAATAAATCACCAAATTATGCGCATAAGAACCAAGGAAATGAACTAAAAATTATCAGTTTTTGGTCTAGAAAACATCGCAAATTTCAAAACTTCACAATTAAAGATTTTTGAAAATTCCCAAGGGGAAAAGTTTAGAAAACATCGATGATTTCCAGTTCAATGGATAAACAGCACGATCAGTGGCTCTTCTTCCTCCCCCCCACACATCACATAAGCATCGGCTTCATGTTGTAACGAGTGGTGGTTTTACAAGGTTGGGTATGAAGATAAAATATGTTTGCCATAGCTTAATTAGTCAGCATGTCGAATTTCTTAACACTCCAACAATGTGAACAAAAAATTTAGCGAAAACTTTATAGGAATCAAATAAAGATTTGGGGTGAAAATGTAGGAAATATCGAACAGTCTCAAATTCAGTATTAAGTCAAAAAAGCAAAGAAAAATGTGAAATTGAAGTTTTGTGAGAACCCGTGAGTGCCTGTGGAGTAAATATGATCATTTCCGTGAAATGCGAAAAAAAAGTTGGGTAATTTCAAGCATTTTAGGATATTGTGGAACACATGGATTTTTGTCGATGAAACTGAAACAAAACAGGTGACCAAACAAAGTCCAACGGATAATATAAGTAGCCTCTAAAAACTTTTGATAACCAAATAGAAACCCAGAGTTTTTCTCTAGATCAACATCAATAGAGTTGCAATTTTTTTTAAAAAACTTAAAGTAGTTTAGACGCTTAGGTACCTTGGAAAAAGCCGGAATTATTTTAACTTTTCCTTGTTATCTTTGATAAATCTTCAAGAATCTTCAAGATCTTCGCAAGATTTTCAAGATGACTGGACTTGGGGGACTTATCAGGTCATGACAAACATATTTGGTCTTCATACTTAAGCTTTTAAAACCAAATAGGCTCTTTTCCAGTTCCTCTCACCCCTTGATTTTTCCTGAACTTCAATGTACAAAAGTCAATTTAAAATGATTATCGTGATAAAAACTGCATTACAACGTGTCAGTGTGAACAGGTGAACAAATTCTTACAACACTTCTTGCATGCAAAACGCCGTGTGAACAATATTTTTAATTTGTATTTTTACGAGGGGGAGGGGGAGGGAAACTGAAAAAGAGCCCAAATAGTTACACTATAAGGTTGATGTTTGTGTAATCAGGAAAAAAGCGGCTCTTTTCTACCTCCCCCCCTCCCTCATTTCAAAATATTCATTTTCAGAGTTTTTCTTGTTTTATTATGCTTAAATGAGTGATGTTACGATATAAAGCATGGCGAACAAACATGTTTACAATAATGAGTTCGTTCACCATGCAAATTTTTGATACGTTAAGGTAATTTTAAAATAATTTTTCAAAGCTGAAATTCAAATGTGGGGAAAATTGGAAAAGAGCCAAAAGGCCAAAAGGGCTGCGACGTGTAACGTGTTGCGGTCGAAGCAATGTATTCGGTTAACTTTTCGTCCTTTGTTTAACTTCGACAAAATACACCGTCAAAAATACAAAAATGCAGTTTATTAAAAACGCACGTTCTTTTTCTCAAATAAAATTTATCGACAACTAAGTATTCATTGGATAATCAAAACAGCAACCAAGTCATCTTTTTATTGTTTTTTGTATTTTTTAACACCTCTACAATGGGCGGCGAGGCCGTGAGTGTTCGTGTCCTCGCCCGAATCAGACCAATCAACAAAAACGAAGAGAAAAAGGGCGAAAAGAGTGTAGTTATTTTCAAAGGTAGACTAACAAAGCATCCAAAACCAAAGCATCGAAAACCAGAGTATTTAGAGAGGCGCGCGATCCAAAAAGTGCTCAAAAATACCGAAATTGACGCGCTTTTTTCTCTCACAAAAATGATGCATGAAGAACGTTTTGTCAAAATTTTGTTTTTAGAGTGCAGTTGATAGCTCAGGTAGTTAATTTGTGGTTGGGATAATGTTGGGGTCTGGTATCATAATATAGTCAGCTACAACCGGCAGTAAATTTTGTGACGTTTTTAATGTGAAATAAAATTGCAAATGAGGAAATGATTTACCCTTTTTGTACAGGTGAGAATGGAGTGACTACTGAGTCACATCCGAAGAAGTGTTTCAACTTCGATGCAGTGTTGCAGCCAGAGGTCACTCAGAAGGAAGTGTTCGATGAGGGCATGAAACCCATTGTGGAACACGTGCTCAAAGGTCAAATATGGGTCGGTTCTTTTCCACTCCCCCCACATTTGAAATTCAGTTTTGAAAAAGTCACAGTGCTTTTATAATTTAATGAAATTCTGCAAAATAAGTTTTCTAAACTCATTTGCTTTCATACCTTGCACAAAAATCACACAGTTAGCGAAAAATAGCGTTATATTAATGTTAAAGTACTATGAAAAAAGGGCTCTTTTTCCTTTTCCCCCACCTGCAAAATTTTACAAGTAAACTTACAGTTAATTTTGTTCGATTATTATTAACTTAGACATACGGACTAATTACTCCCTGACGAACATATTCGGTCTTCATAATTAACCTTCTAAATCCACTCGCTACACCATAAATTTGATGCTCGTGTGAGGTGGGGGAAAAGGAAAAAGAGCCGAAAAAAGAAAGTTAGGCTTACCAAAAAATATCCCTTTTTCCTTTTCCCCCGCACCTCACACGAGCTTCAATATATTAGTGTAACGAGTGGTTTTACGAGGTTGAGTATGAAGACCAAATATATTTGCCATGGCCTAATTAGTCTGCATGTCAATTTTCATGACAATTGGAGAATGTGGTCAACAAATTTACATGTAAAAATTTGCAGGTGGGGGGAAAGGAAAAAGAGCCAAGTTGGCTTTACCATAACTTTTGCTGATACATGCAGTCGCACTTGAACATCTATTTAAAATGACCCCCTTCCTCAAAAAAATTACTGAAATAACAGTGTGAAGAGGGAGTGCAGCCTGTATTTAGACAACTGCGTATTCATACTCGTCAGTATTTAGACAAATACTGTATGAACCAATCAGAATCGAGAAAAGACATAAATAATCCAAAATAAATTATAATAATTTATCAACTTCTTCTTCGTCTCGACTCTGATTGGTTGAAACAGTATTTGTCTAAACACTGACGAGTCTGAATACGCGTTTGTCTAAATACTGCTATGTAACCTGTGAAGATCTATAATTTCATTGTTACTGAGCTGGCGGGGCTGTAGGTTCTTTTTCACGTCCACCCGTAATTCCATTGCAATTTTGGAAAACTATTTTACCAGTATTACAGTACTGATTTTACATTATCCTGATAGAACGAATAAAACTTGAAATTTAAAACGCGTTTTTCTCAAATTATGTTGATTATAGACGAGTCAATATGAAGAACAAACTTGCTTAGAATTTTAGCAAGATTAAAATGGCTAGTTTTGCTTTGCAAAATTTGGGCCAAAAAATTTGAACCCAAAATCGGATCATTTTTTGTGGCCAAATGAAAAAAAAAACGCCAAAAAAAACGACTAGTTCACTTGCTGACAACACTAAACCAAAGTGAGCTTCTTATGTAGCTCAAGAAAGTTTATTCTCAAAAAAAATTGCACAAAAAGATTTAAAATTGTTTCGGCTACATAAGGTATTAATTTGTCTGCAATTGAACGAGTAATTTCGGCGTAACTTTTAACTGACCACAAAAAAAATGATACAATTTTGGTTTCAAATTTTGGCAAAAACAGAAAATTGATAACTTGATGGGAAAATGGATAAAAGTCATTTCATGAACTCAAATTTAAGTTCTTCCATTTTTCCCGCCACACCTGAAGAGACGGTTATTTCCCGTTTCCCCTTAAGTTTTTGCTTGATCGTGCAATGTGACATTGGTAAAGTAATTTTTAAAAATTGAAATTAAAGGCAAAAAGAGCCGAATCTGGGCTTCTTATTTAACTTAGTAAAATCACTCGTCTCGCCATAAAACTGGTGCACATGCTGTTTTTTAGGGGGGTGCAATGAGGGAAGGCTGGTGGAAAACAAAAACAGCTGAGCTTTCTACGTGTGGCTTTTATGTTTCAATACAACTTTATTAGAGCGACAAAATTAGAGTATTATTTTCATATTAGTTTAACGGTTTTTTAAAGTCTAATGGTAAGTACAACAAATATCCTTACAAAAATTTATTTACATAAAAGTAACATAATATCAATTGTTGAGAGGGAGTGGAAACGAGCTCAAATGTTCAGACAAATTATTTAAAAACTGACCAAAAGGGTTGAAACGTTGAAAATTTTTTCAGAGTATGGAAAAAAAGAATAACCGCGAGCTAATTTTTGCCCTCTTAATAGAAAAGTAATAATGTGGCGTTTTTTTCCAGTCTCCCTTAGTTTTTTTGGGAAATTCGAAGAAGAAAAGCTTTTTTAAAGTTTCAGTTTTTTAAAAATGCAAATGCGTGTCAGCGTGAACACCTAATTGGGTTTTCTACATCAATCCCTACATGAAAATAGCCGGATTCCCCATTTCTTAAAATTTTATCTATTGTTGTTTTTACGTCTTATTTGTGGTATGATATTACGATGAAGAGAAGGTAGAATTGGAATATCACAGCTAGAAAAAACTCAAAAAGTATAAAAAGCAAATTTTCGCAAACTGAATTTTCATTTTAGAGTAAAAATTTCATTCAGAAGGTATCAAATTACACCGTCAAAACTTTTAATTAGAAAAAAGCTTTTGTACATCTAGAATTTGACATTTTCAAATTTGAAATTTTTTGAATTTGTTATTTTATTTCACAGTATGAATAATGGGCAGTTGATATCAGAACACTCCGTTAAAACTGTTTTTTTAATTTTTTTCTCGTTTACCTAAGGTTTTGAAACTTTCGTTATTTGAAATTTTTGAAATTTCTACCTCGATTCTGAAACTTCTCGTTATTTGAAATTTTTGAAAACTCAATTATCCTCTCTCAGCAAAACTTTGCTCAGAGGGTATCAAAACATTTAGTCAAAACTATTATTTGAAGTTTTTGAAAAATTCAAGATTTAATTTACGGAATAAATATTTTTCAGATGATATCAAATCACTGGTCAAAACTTTTATGGAAATTTTTTTTTCTTTTCATCTAAGTTTTTCAAAAAATTGTAATGATGGTATCGAAACACTCTGTCAACTTGACATTTTACCCAGTTTTTTTTTCCATTAACGTGCATTTCTAAAGTCTTCTTTCCAACCTTTGAAAAATCCGATTTTGATTTCTTATTTCACACTAAAAATGTGGTACGGATGATAATAAAACACTTCGTCATAAAGAGTTTTTTTCGTTCGCCCAGATTTTTTCCCGTTCTTCTATATTTTTGAAACCTTCAAAACTTTGAAATTTCTGAAGTTTGAAGATTTGGTTTACAGTATACATTTTCTGAAGTTCAAAATACTCCGTCGAAAACGTTATTTAGAAATGAAAGTGTCGTTCATCTAGGTTTTTTGGTTTCACATAGACTTATGAAACCTTCGAAGCTTTGAATTGTTCAAAATGTAGAGTTTTTTTCACAATAAACAAAATGTTCAGGTTGTGTCAAAACACTCCGTCAGAACTGTTAATAATAAGAAAAAATCGTTCTTATTAGACCTTCAAACCTTTGAAACGTTGAATTTTTTTGTTTAAAAAAATCTTAAAAATAGTATTGAAACACTCCGTCAAAACTGTTGTTCAAAAATTTATTGTTCACCTAGGTTTTGTTCAGTTAACTTACATTTTTGAAATCTTCCAATTTTGTTTCGGATGGTTAACAATATGCTTCGGATGATTACAAAACGTTTTGTCAAAACAGTTTTTAGATAAGTTTTTCCGCTCGCTTAGGTTGTTTCCGCTTTTTCAAGTTCGAATTTTTAATTCACTGTAAACATTTTGTGCAGATGGTATCAAAACACTCCCTCAAAACAGTTATTTTCAAAATGTTTTGTTCACCTAGATTCTTCCTGTTCACCTAAATTTTTGAACTCTGAAGTTTTTAAAGTTGCAGTATAGTTATTGTTGAGATAACAAAGCCCTCCGTTAAAACTGTTTTTTAGAAAAATTTAGTTTACCTAGGTGATTTTTTTTCGATTGCTTAAGTTTTTGAAATCTTCAAAACTTCTAAATTTCACAGTATAAATATTGTTCAAATGGTACCAAAACACTCCGTCAAAATTTTTATTCAAATTTTTTTTCTGTTCACCTAGATTTTCCAACTCTTAAAAACTGTGAAATTATTGGGTTCGTAACAGTTTTGACGGAGTGTTTTAATACCATCTTCAGAAGGTGGTATCAAAATACTCCGTCAAAACTATTTCTTAGAAGTTTTTTTGTTCACCAAAGACCTTTCTAATTACCTCGTTTTTTAAAATCTTCAAATCTTTCAATTATTGAAACTTGATTTTTATTTTTTCAAATTTGGGCAACCGAAATTTTTCTTAGTTTTGACAAGATTTAACTACTCAATAGCAGCAACTTCTTTAGTAATTGGTTTTGCTTCAGGTTACAACGCAACAATTTTTGCATATGGACAAACTGCATCTGGTAAAACATTTACCATGGAAGGAGCTCTCAATGACCAAAAGAACAAAGGTAAGCTTACTCCTTCCTATCAATAACTAATATTTACTATTGCTGACCAGGGATGAAAAGCTTCGATCCCTAACCACTTCAAAAGTCTCTCACCGCATTCAAAATGTGTTCAAAAAAAAGGTTTGCAAGAGGAATTGAACCGCATTTCAAAGCATCTTTTTTGTGAGCAATTTTGTGCAGTAGCATCAAAATGGCTGAAACACGCCAGACCAAAACTTTGTGCGCCAAGTCGTTTTATATAATGATAGCTTCAGTTCGAAAACAAAAACTGCAAATGTATACATAGAATTAGGCTAGCTAATTGGTCTATCTACTTAGTACTTACAAAGTATTACCTATAAAAAATAGTCTACCCTCTAAAAGCCGATAATGTCTGGAGCTCTAACTTAAAACGGTATTTTACCTCTGATAATTTTGCCGAAATTTGCCAAACTGGCTGATTTGGGACAATCAACGCGCGAGATATTTCCTGCTATTAACGCGCAAGCGTCTTTTTATTCCGCTTATAAATCCTTCTAACATAGCTAATCGGAGATTGGAAAAGAGTATTGAACGCAAGTAAACATACAAAAAAACACTGACTTTCTTGGAAAATACTCAACTTTCGAATTTCAAAAAAAAGAGGCCCTTTAAGCTCTTTGAATTTCTAGAACAATTTGTGGTTGTCATTTTTTTGATAAAATGAACCCAATTTGAGAAATATGGATCAATAGGTAAAATTCTTATTCCGCTGGAAATCTAAAAATTAAATTTCACTTTCGAAACTAGAAATCGTTCGCGTTTTTTTGCGCCATTTCAAAAGTTTGAATTTGAAAAGTGCTATTTACGTCACTTTCAGCAGTTGAATTTCAATTTAATTCTAAAAATGCATATATACTTAAGTGCATTCATACAAAGATTTAGAGAGATATAAAGTAGTTATTAGAAATTTTTAAGACTTGCTTGAAAAAAAATCAGCAAGCCCTGTATAAGAGTTTTCATTATGTTCATTACTCTTAAAATTGAATGGAGGTAAAACTATTGCATTACATGGCGTTAAAAGTATTCGTTTTTGGGATAAAAATATTTCAAAAAAATCCAAAAAAATAATCTTTTTATCATTTTATCAAAAGCTCACAATTTTAATAACTTTTTTCAATGGATGTTTTTAAAAGCAATTTCAAAAATGTTGAAGGGCAGTCAGAACATTCAGGGCTCCGCCTTGATACAAAAAGCCTTGTTTTCAATCAATTTGAGAAGGTTGTGATGACGGATTTATTCGCAGCGTTTCAATAAATTGCCCCTATGTGTCACTCATATTTAATAAATTCCTGAAAGTGCTCTAAAGTACTAAGAATTCATGTATTGCAATTGGTTTGCCACCAGAGTCATTCAAAAAGTTATGTACGGAGTACTTGGTGATTATGCGTCAGCATAATAAACAAAACTGCTCGAATTAGGGCTAAACTCTGAATATTCCGGCTGCCCTTTAACCTCTATAGAGTAGTATTTGCTTTCTAGCATGAAACGTTCAAACAAAAAATGAAAAAATTAAAAAAAAAACATCCTCGAGATTTTTTTCTGAGAATCAACCCCCACACGCTATGCTAAGTAAAGTTTGTTGAATTTTTCAAATATCAAAATTCTATGGAAAACAATTAGCAAGCCTCATTCAATTTGGCACGATGCTTAGAACGGATAAAACCTTCGCTTACACGTTAACAGCACGAAACATATCACGCGTTAATTTTCTAAAACTGGATACATTGATAATATTTAAACAAACATAACTTAACAAAATAGATCACAGATAAAACATATTTTTTATTATTTTGAGCTCAAGACAACAATGCCAATGGGCTGATGTAAGATTATAGTCAAAATGGCTAGTTAAAAGCTGAAAAATGTTTTACAATTGTTCCGTCACTATATTCGAAAGTCGGATTAATTATTTTGAAAAACGCAATGTTATTAGTACGAATTGATAAACTGAAAAGATCATGCTTTCAAATTTTTCATTACAAACAAGCTTTTCCAAATGGCAGAAGAACTATGTGAAAGACTTCAACTAAAAAGTCAAAATTTCCAGGAAAAAACAATCTGTGTAAGCAAATCAGTAAATCAGTTACTGGGAACAAGTAATGAAATTTAGAAAGCCCTCGATGAGCTAGGTTCAAGGAAAAAATTGTTCTTTACAAATTGTTCTTAAAAAGATTTCAAAATCCGAACTTCTGTGGCTTTGTTTTCTGAAACGTACTGCTTTCAATTATGCGGACGAAAAGCATAAAGTTTGAATTTTAAAACGACGTGTTTTTTAAGAGTAATAAACGTAGTGAAAACTCTTATACAGATTTTTTGTTTGATTTTTTTTTTTTAATTTGTTCAGGCTCAATTTTGATTTTTCGCGGTTTGACTTGTAATTTCTTTTTAAGCTCAGTGCTGTTTCCTTGTAAAAGAAAGGCAAAATCCACTTTCGATCAGCAAAAAGTAAAGATCACGAAAAACTTGATCCACTTCATATTTCAAAAATGGAAATTAATTATCAGATATCCCAGTGAAATAAAAAATTTGCTTATTGATCCAGTTTTCTCCTCAAATTGAGTTAATTTTAACAAAAAAAATTTCCATCATAAGAGATTTCAGGCCATATTTTTTTCTTCTAAGTTCAAAAGTTGAAGATTTTTGAAAAAAATCAAGTCAGTTTTGGTTTCAGTTTCATTGCGTCCAATTCTCTTTTTGGTCATGTTTTCGAGTTTGGGTTGAAAAACGATTAAAACATGACTTGCTTAAAATTTTAGCAGAATGATTATGGATCATTCTTTGCCAAAATTCATCATAAAGCTAGTCTTGTCTTCCTTGTATTTCACCAAAAATCAACCCAATTTGAGAAAACGCGCTTTATCTTTCAAGTTTTATGCTTTTAGCCCGGGTAATTTAAATCTATCTTGTTAGAATTTTTTATCCGAAAAACAATTCGAAACGATTTGAACTTTCAGTAAAAATATTGAGTGGGTTCAAACTTGTACGAGAAGTTTTTTCATCTTTTTAGCAGAGAAATTTCTCTGAACCTTCTATGAATCAATAATTATCATTGCAGCTAGGATCGGATGTAAAATTTTGTATAGGCGCTAGCGATCCAAAAAAATTACTTGTGTTTTTTTGGTGGATTTTAGGTGTCGATGTTTTTTGTGTGCGTTAAATATTGTGCGCGCAAAACAAAAAAAAATATCATAAGCAGTATTTGTATTAAGGTGTGATTCCTCGGATGGTGGATGCTCTCTTCAGCAGTGTAGACAGCGCCAAAGAGAAGACAGAGCTCTGCATTAAGCTGTCCTATTTCGAGATCTACAATGAGAAGCTGCAGGATCTGCTCAAACCAGAAAACGACAACCTCCCTGTACACGAGAGGAAAGGGTCCCCATACGTCAAGGTGGTCGTCAGAAATATAAAAAACATAATCATAGCATGTTCGCTTTAAAAAAAAGTTGCCATAATATGTTCGCTCTAAACACAGGAACAATTTGCGACCAATTAACATTTTTTTGAATCCCATTTTGGAAGAACATCTTCACAAACTCATAAATTTACCTTTCATTGTTTCCTGCGTCATATGAAAAATAGGCATAAAAATACCTATAAAAGTGTTGAAATGATACTTTTTACAAAATTAAGAATCCCTTTATTTTTTCAAGTAAACTTTTTTAATGTCACTCGAAAAAAAATTTAATAAGCATTAGGAAATGATTCGCAAACTTTTGTTGAAAAAAAAGTCTTTAATTTAGAACTATAATTAAAGAACCAACAAACAAGGGAATTCACCTCCATCAATGCATATTTTGCAAGTATCTTTTTCTCAGTTCAGAAACATCTTCTGCACTTCTGCTAATTGTCAGAAGGTATTTCGGAACAAACTTTCAGTCGATGAACCTAGTTCATACTCTTATATAGGTCGTGATACTTTTTTTTAGATTTTTCGCGATTCGACTTTTTATTTATTTTCAAGTTCAGTTCACTTCATTGTTCTGTTAAAAGGAAAGCAAACTCCACTATCGAACAGCAAAAATGTTAGGTCACAAAAAGGTGATCGAATTCTAATTTGGAAAACGGATTTTAATTTTCAGATTTCGCAGCGAAACAAAAAGTTATACCTATTGATCCAGTTTTTTCAAATTGAATTATGTTTTATCAAACAAAAAAAATACTCTAGAAAGTCCCAGAGCTATAAGGCCATCTATTTTTTTTCTTGGAAGTTTGAAAGTTGAGATATAAAAAAAAACAGTGAGTACTTTTTCCTGTTTACTTGCGTTCATTACTATTTTCAGACTGCCTGTTGGTTATGTTTTACTTACGTGCCGATCAGAATGTCTCTCTGTATAGGGTCTACACGAGGAGTCTTTGGGGTCGCCCAAGGAGGTGATGAAGTGTATTGAGAAGGGCAAAAAGAACAGACACACTGGAAAGACCAACATGAACGAACACTCCTCAAGGTCACACAGTGTAGTACAGCTCAAGGTCGAACAGGTACAACCAAAACCTTGCCACTTCTCTATGAGTAATTACATAATCATATAAAATTAGGAGCGCCAAATTGCTATGAAAATTATTACAAAATTTCGTGAAAACACTATTTTAAATACGCACATATATTAGGGCAAAAAATTAGATTCGGATCAAAAATTAAATTTTATTGATATTAGCTGGAGTTTTACATCACTCTTGAGAAACGACATTTGATAGCTTTTATGTGAGATTTCAAATATTATTGTTTCTGTTTCAGTCTACGCAGAAGGGCAAGAGTAACAGTCTTCTGTTTCTGGTGGACTTGGCAGGATCAGAAAAGGTGGCCAAAACAGGCGCCACAGGAGACAGGTTATAAAAAACAAAAGTTATAAAATTCTACAGCAGAGTAGGCAAAAAATCAAAACTTTTCTTCCGGAATTGAAAGTAGGGTCTATAAACAAGCGGCAGTTTGTGAACCCCGTCGCTTATGCATTCGCTACTTATCTATTGAGCGGGCATCCAACAACCAAAAACGTGTGCATATATGCGCTTATAGCGTACCTCGTTTATTTAAGAATCTCAAAACAATGTCAAGCACGAGGATTCAGAATCGCTTAAGATTAAAATGGGGGCTCTTTTCTAAAATAAGGGCCCTCACCACCTTTCGATATCATTTTTTAAAATTCGCTCAATGTTGTTATATTTCAATGACGCTTGGCATGGTGAACAAGCTATCAATTGAGAATATATTTGTTCTTCATACCTTGCATCGTAATATTACGCGTTTAGCCGTAAAAACAGGTAAAACAACCATAAAAAATGACAGCTTGAAAGCTTGAAAAGAGACTGGAAATGAGCCAAAATAGCTGGATGTCTAGTTTTGGGTGCACTCATGTTGTTTTTGTAGGTTGAACGAGGCAAAGAACATCAACAAGTCTCTCTCCTGTCTGGGAAACGTGATCAACGCCCTCACTGAGAAGAAAAAGACACACGTACCATACAGGGACAGCAAACTCACACGCATTCTTCAGGTGGGTTTATTCTCTGACCTTAAAAATGGCTAGCTTACACTTCCTGTGTTTCATATGTGATACCAATAACTGTCGACTTCTGAGAGCATCAGAGGAGCTGAAAAGGATTATTCAATTTTAAAGCCTCAACGTATACACAGTTTTATCATTATTTTTACTATATACTAAGAGCTGTATAATGATGATGATCATTGCCATTCAAAAGATAAACGGTTGTTTGATCAAAAATTGGCATCATAAAACAGTCATTCGGAAAAAAAAACGTATCCCAGAATTGAGAGCAGATGGCTTTGATTTGGACACCAACTCCGGCAAATTTATTGATTTTGAACTTTTGAAAGAATGTGTTCAGGAGAGTTTGGGCTGCAATGCAAGAATGACGATGGTAATTTGCTGCTCGCCCGCCAAAATGAACGAACAGGAGACCCACTCGACACTCATGTTCGGCCAGCGAGTGAAGACGATCAAGAACAATGTGAAGGCCAACACTGAGAAGTCCAGTGAGTACTGGATGAAGATGTACAACAATGAGTGCAATAAGGGAGCTAAAGTAAAGAAACTGGTGCTGAAGTTAATCAAGGAGGCCAAAGAGCACAGAAAAGGTAAGTTATATACTCAGGATTGAAGTTCGGTTGATCAAAATACTAGTTGAAGATCTTGAGAGGGAAAAAGTTTTTCAGTTAGTCGTCATAATTAACCAACCAACTTCAAATCAATCGCTTTGGCAAGATAATAAAAGGTGAAGTTTAATCTAAATAACTTATCACAGTTTAAAGGAATTTTTTTTGTTTTTTTTTAATTCTTGCTTTTCCGGCCAATTGAAAAATGTGGAAGATTTTTGTATGCGAGTGCGTTTCAGTTTTTTTGTTTTTCACGCAAAATCAGGTTCCACAAATAATCATCAGAATGGGTCGAGTGATATATCATATTAAAGCTCTTTCAGTCGTGATTCGAACGTCTTTAAAAAAGTTTCAAAAACTTTCACAGTGTTGAAAAAACCGGTTTGAAATTTTTGAGTTTTCGTCCAAAGTGGTCAAGTAACGTTCGTTATGTATAACTATTGGCCATTTAGGAACAAACCTGATTTTACTACAAAAACAAACATTTTTTGAAGCTTAATTAAGCGCTTTCTTGGCATTCAACTGAGCACTTTCATCCAAACCTAAAAATTTTAGTGCAAAAAAATTAGGAAATATTTTCCCACTTTTTCGTTCATTTAATTTTTTATTAGAATTATGGTATTTTATGCCTAATTTAGTTACGTTATACGTGTTTGTATAGTTCTATATTCACACCACGGAAAAGTGACGCTAATTTGAAGATTCAAAAAGTTTTTTTGTAATTTATTACGAATGTGGTCGGAACGTTCTAGGCTACTTGAACAGTAACCGGCTATCCTTGTCTGATTCTAGATTTTCTTTACACTAGGAATTGATTTAACGATAAAAATTCACTTGGAAATACAGTCACGAGAAAAATAAGATGCAGTTTTTCGCTTTGAGACGATTTCTTGTGTTTTTGACGTTAATTAAGATACAGTGTTCAAACTTAGGCGGTCGATAAAACTACTTCGAGTTCGGTTGGACCAAAATTTTAAAAGAATCGAAAGAACACGTTTTGGAGGTGTTGATTCGTTATCAGAACATAACTAAGCAGAAAGATTCTTCATGTGGAGTTATCGTGGTAATCACCACGGGCTGTTTAAGTTTTATAGATTCGTTTCGTTCGGTAGGAAGTGAAACTTAGTTTTTCCTATGACTTCAGTGCAAAAAAATATTAAACAGAAAATCTTAAGGTGCAACGTCAAAACGGATAAAATAAGTTGGAGAAATTCTGCGTTGACAAAAGTTTTCAAATGGACTTGCAAAAGCGGTGAAGATTTTAAATCTTGTAAACACTCAATATCAGTTTTGTCTGATTCTTAAAATTCTGTTTGGAATTTTATGAATTTCCTTGTCAGTTTTTTTATCATTAGCTGGCCGACTCACGCTTCAAAAATTGCATCAACCTTATTTCGAACATTCAAACTTGTGGCTCAAAACCTTGCAGAGAATTTGTTAAAAACATGAAAAAAAGTTTTTCTCATTTGCTTGGATGAGAATCAAAATTTGTAAATGTTTGGTCCTTTTATTGAAACTGATTAAAGTTCCAATAATTGGTTGTTTCATCCAGTTTTTTATCTCCCCTCCTATCATTTTTCCTTTGGCTTTTTACAACCATCCCACCCCAAAGTTTATTCCTTTGCCCCACACCTGATCCAACAACCCCACCTAGCCATTTGGACCATCCACACCCCCCAATACACACACACTTGAACCACCGCGCCACCACATGAACCACCCGTCCCTTGACCAGAACCAGCCCCCACCACCTGAACCAACCAACCCTCCTTGCAAGAACCGACGTCCTCCACCATCCGGATTGTTTTTGGCAGGGGTTGGTTCAGGTAGTGGTGCTGGTTCAGATATTTTTTAATGGACGGTCAGAAATGCCATTTTTGAAAAAAGTTGGCAAAAAAGTGCATGTTTTTGGCACGCGATCTCTTGCAAACTAGAATAAGTTAAGACTTAAAAACAACTAACCAATTTTAGTTAAAAAATAGAAATTATTTATGTGCGTTAAAGTTTGCTTCGCAAAAAGTGGGAAAAATAGATTTTGAGGGATTTTTATTGTCTTCATCTATAAAAATGAAAATTGTTTGTTTTTAATTGGTTTAAAATAAATATAAATGCTTTAATAAATGATAGCAATATAATTCATTTTTAGTTGATTGTAATTGATTTTTCTTTTTTTTATAGACATTGATTATAAAATTCAAGTTTAATCAGCTTTCATCTAAGGGACTCCAAGGCAAGTAGACTCACGAGAAGTTTTTGACTTAAAAAGGGCGGAAATATTTACATCAGATGACAGTCATTGCGTGATCAAATTGGACCTTTAACAATTTTGCAAACTCATTAAATTGTGTTAAATATCAACCACCGAATCCACTGCAAAAATTTTGTGGAACCAAAAAGTAAAGTTTTCGTCGGCAAAAAATGTGTTGAGGAATCCGCAACGAGCAAATAAACCCAACAGATCATCAAATTTTTTAATAAATGACAAAGCATTTTAAGAGGACTGATTTTTTGCGCGAGGTTGTTCTCTTTCTCCTGAACAATTTCGAACTTTTAAATAGCCAATGTTCACGGTTTTTCTTATATCATCAAAAAAATTGTTTTCTTGAGCTCAATTTTTAAAAAATAATAATTCACCTGTTACTTATTTTTGTTAAAATATTTAGATCTAAAGATAGCCAATTTGCTCAAATTGGGATAAATTTACGCGCGATATATTTCTTGCTATTAACAGGTAAGAAGAGGTTTAATCCATTCCAGAAAACTGTTTCAAATAAAATGAGGCATGTTACTTGGTTCAATTAATACCTTGCTATATGCGAAAAGTATCACTTTGTACTTAACATAGCCTGTGGTAGGATAATTAAAAAACATTCAAAAGTTTGAAAAAATTTTCGTTTTTATTAGAAAAATGTGATCATTTATTTATTTTTCAAACTGAACACTACGCCATAGACGTTAAAAGCTTGTCGGAACGTTCAAAGAGTCACATTGATACGAGCAACTTGGTAAAATAGTGGTCAAAGTAGTCCCAAATTCAATTCTTCCTAACTTAGGGTTTTAATGGTAGCAGGTAATTTTTTAAATTTACATTTGATCTTGGCATGTCAAATTTTTCAGATGGTGTAAAAAAGCCCTTCAAAAATGACTAGTTAAAAAGTTGAAACTTTTAAACAACTCATTCATTGTTCAACTAGGGGAAAACATCTGAGCACCAATATTTCGCCACTTTCCTTGAAAGTCTAACAAAAATGAAAAAAAAGGTACACTTTGGCCTCGTAAAACAGATTCGACAGACAAGAGTACAGATGCAATAGCACAAGGTTGGTTGGTTGTCAACTTCATACAACCAAAGGAATGCGAAGGTTTATATTATTATCTGAGCCATCAAACAAAGACAAGGGTCAATGCGCTCAGAAAATGAGCATTACGTAAAATGACTTTCATTGGTTGAATTGTTTTTAATTCATCATTTTCAAAAGTTTTGGTTTCCATATCATTTATCATCAATCACCTGATATCAAGTCTTTCAATAATGCACGGCGAATCCTTCTGAGGTTTCCAGCTCTCACTTCTATTCATGTAACAAAGGTGAAATGTTTTGTTAATCTCGAGTTTTCTGGTATTAAAATCTATTCAGGTGGCAAACCCAAACCGGAAGTTGACCTGGAGGAGCTGAAGAAACTGCTGGATGATTTCGGCAAGGGAGACGCGCATGCGAAGATTGAGAAGATGGATGGGGACGATGACGGCAACTGTAAGAACCAAAATTTTCAGTTTCAAGTTTTTGCTTTTGAAAAATTAAAAATATAGTAATCAAAATTTTTAAGTCTTATTGCTTCATAGTCACTGATATGAGTCTTATGGAAAAAAAACCAATGGAATTATTAGGAGTGATGAACGTAGTGACTACTCTTATGTGAGTCCTGCTGGTTTTTTTTTCTTAAAATTTGTTCACGCTCAATTTGATTTTTTGCTGTTTGACTTGTGAGTTCTGTTAAAATTCAGTGAATTTCTGTTGTTAAAAGGAAGGCAAACTGTTCTATCGAACAGCAAATTTGTAAAAATCACGAAAAACGTGATGAACTTTTAATTTCGAAAATGGAAATTAATCAGATTTCCCAGCGAAATAAAAGTTTTACCAATTGATCCAATTTTCTCAAATTGTGTTGATTTTAACAAAAAAGTGTCCATCATAAATCATTCTGCGAACTCAAAGAGCTTTAAGATCATCTATTTGTTTCTTCAAAAATCAAAAGTTCAAGATTTGTGGAAAAAACAAGTAGGTTTTTTTTAGTTTCCTTGTGTTCATTACTCTTTTCCAACTGTCAGTAAATGTAAAAATAATCTAATTATTTGGTTAACAAAATATTTTATATTTGATCATCAAAGATTTCAAGTCTTGCTCAAAAAATTTGGTTTCCGAATTCGAAAAAGGTTAATACGATTCCTGTTGGATCAAAACAGGTATTATGAAAAGGTATGGGATCGGGTGTTTTATTTAATTATTTTTTTTGAGACGCTTTGGATAAATTTTCAGTTTTATAAAAACTTTATTCTTTTCTTTAAATTTGAGTTCAACGGGTAAAACAGGTTGTGGGAAACTCTCCTGCAAAAGCAGCTATGCTCAAGTTTTTTCTTCACAAAAAGTTATGACCCTCAGAAAGGTCAAATAATCGATTTTTTTTACCGTTTTTGAAAACTCTCAAAAACTATTTTTCCAAATTTAAGTTTTTAATTTTTTCAAAAAAGAGCGGGTTTTACGAAGATCCCCTGCATTACACTCAAATTTTTTCACACAAAAGTTATGACCCTCAGAAAAGTCAAAATTTCACTTTTTTGATCGTTTTTTAAAAATTTTCAGCTTTTCTCAAAAACTACACTCCCAAATCTGAGGTTTCGGTGTAATTGAGGAAAACGAGTCGTGGGAAATTCCGTTGCATAAATTATCACGTCTAAAATTTTTCTACACAAAAAGCTATGACCCTCCGAAAAGTCAAATGTTCGATTTTTTAACCGTTTTTTTTTTAAATTTTAACCTCCCAAAAAGCTACCCTCCATAATTTCAGATTTCAGTTTTAATCGAAAGAATTTGTTATGGGAGCTCTCCGAAGAAGCAATCAAGAACAATTTACTCTATACAAAAAGTTATGACCCTCTGAAAACTCAAATTTTTGACTTTTTAATCGGTTTTTAAACGTTTTGACTTTTCTCGAAAGCTCCCTCTCAAATCTGAGATTTTGGTTTTAATGAGAAGAACGGGTTGTGCGAAGCTCCGCTGTAAAAAGGGTGAAGCCCTATTTTTTCAACAGACAAAGTTATGACTTTCGGAAAAGTCAAATTTTTGATTTTTTGACCGTTTTATGAAATTTTTTGACTTTTCTCGAAAAGTATCCAACCAAATCTAATGACCAACGAGGTTTTGCTCTTTAGATTTGGATGATCATTAAACGTTGCTCAATAGATTTGTTTGGATACTTTTTGAGAAAATTCAAAAAGTTTCATGAAACAATCAATAAATGACCGCTTCGCACAACCCGTTCTTCTCATTAAAACCAAAACCTCAGATAGATTATGCGGCTAAGCCTAGATGTTTTTCCACAAAAAGTAATGGCCCTCGAAAAAACTTAAATTTTGATTTTCTTACCATTTTTTTTGAAAATTTTGATGTTCATGAAAGTTATCTTGTTAAATTTAAAAACTCACTCCTTGCTAATTTTTAAGAGAACCAAATAAGATTTTGGGTGAAGCCCAGTTTTTGGAGTTAACCTTGTCCTTCCGAATCAATACAAAAGTTCAAAATTTATCAAACAAGTCTTTCCAGCTTTAGCTGGCCTCTAGCTTCAAAAACATTATTGTCTTTTTTCCATTAAAAAAAACAAAAGTTAGCATCGCTTAACGTATGTGAATCATGTTCGAATAAGGCGAGAAAAAACTTGGTTTATTTTTCTTTCTAATTTTGCAGAAACCAAAACAATGTTAACAACAAAAACTCCAATTTATTTGATGGTTCAGTTTTCTTATTTGATAGCAGTTCCATTTACAATTTTAGCTCCTGATACCCCTGCTGGGCAAAAGAATAAAGATTCGGAGAGGCTGGGCAGCAAATTGAGCAAAACTTCAGCCGCCAAAGGAAGCAAGGCCGGAAAGGTTTGATAAATGTTCTTTTATACTGGCTTTGGTATTTTCCCGAATTCCCTGGGTAGCAAAATCGGTTTGAACTCTAAAACTTTCGAAACATATCTTATGATCATTTTTCCGACTTTCCAGGACGGCCAGACGGATGGAGTTTTTTTTTCAAAAAAGACAAAAATCAAATCCAAAAAACAATTTCGACAAAACTCTTTTATATCTGAAAAGATTTAGTACCTTGAACTCAAATAGAAAGTTATTTCTATCAGCGATTAATCAATGGTCCAAAATTTGTAGAAGAAACCAAGGACGTTTTGTGCCTGGGGTGATTTTTTTTACTCTGTTTCGAATGTTTAACTAAGCAATTTTGACAAAACGTTTTAACCTATATGAAATATTGTGTTATACAGATCTCAAATATAAAACAAATTCACCTGTGATCACTATTTTATACAGATATGGGGTTTGGAATTTGCTAATTGGCCAGTTTTGGATAGATAATGCATGATCTGGACTTTTGAAAACAAATTATGGAATTTTTGTTATCGGGGTGACTTTTTTCTATGGACAGATTTCAACTTTTGAAAAAGCAATCTTTGGCGGTGTTTTTTATATCATTCAAAAGATATTGCTATCAAGAGTTTTTTTTTTAATTTGTTTTTCGTAAGCATTTTTTCTGAAAAATTATTCGTTCTTTTTTAAAGATTGGCAATATTTCGAGCTAATAATGAGTCAACGGAGTATTAACCCTTCTTAACAATAGTTTGAAATCAAATTGAGGCATGCTATCATTCATATTTTGACTCAAATTTCAAAAAAAAAACAATCGTGATTTTTTCGCGAAGTTATGGGGGGTTTGAAAAATAAAATTTTAGCTCATTTGGGACAATGTAGACGGCGTATACGGCTATTTTATCCGCTCAAAAACCGTTGCAAACTAACTTGAGACCAACCATTGGAAGTAATTATTACGTTACTAAACACTTTTATTATAACTTCGTACTTGGCATAGCAAATTGCAGGGAAAATGTTTTTTTTTTAAATTCGGGAAAAAAAATCATTTCTTTTCAGTTTTTAGGAAATCTAATAAAGTTTTCTGATTGATGCTCTCGAAAAATTTGTTAAATGACAATAAAGGGCAATTGGAAGGTTCAGGATTTTGGCCTGATACGAGAAATTTAATTTAATTTGAAATCTATGGAAGTCTTGGGCTCAAAAGTGAAAACAATTGTTGTATGTGATTTGTTTTGCAAACTTGTGATGGTTTTATGTTTAAAAACTTTTTGCAGAGTTTGCAATTTTTCTGCATAATTCAGAGCGTACGCGTTTTCTAAATCTACTCACATGTTCTCAAATTTGCAAAACGATATCTCTCACAAATTCAACACGCCTCTTTGCTTTGTTAACACCCAAAATGAGCACACAATGGTTAACTCACCCCCACTTTTTATACCTCTTATCTTCCACCACACAAACCCCCCCCACCAACCCCAACACAAGGCCTTCCCATATGTTTTTAAATGTGTGTAAGGCTGAATGGGTGAGGTGGGTGTGATGGAATTAAGATTGGTAATAGTAAGTGTGGGGTAGGTGGCAGGAAGACAAAAAGAAATTCAGAAAACATTTTTTGCAGTACCCAACTGTGTAATATTGGTGGAATCCCTCATGCGCAAAGATCCAAATGCGCGAAAATATAAATGAGCCAATCAGAGCTAATCTAAAATTTGGAAAGAAAGTAAACATTTCCAGGGACTGGGGTATTGAGATTGGCCGAATATAAAAACGGCACAATATGCAAAATTCAAATATTGTCATTGACCGCCCCAAAGTTGGGACAAATTTTACATTTCAAGGGTTTCGTAATGAAAGAAGCAAACTGTTTCTTCGTTTACTTCTTTGGAATTGAATGGCAACTGCTTCTTTTTAAAAAATTGACTTTCGGCTAATTTTGTGTTCGGTTTTTCGCACACAAGTTTTTTCGCGCATTCGGTCCTTCACGAATGAAAATAGCCCCCAAAAAAGAAAAAATATCAATCCAATGTATTTGATTTTAAAAAATTGATTATAAGGAAACGTATTGTATTATAAGGGACTATATTAGATTATAATTGTTTTTAGGCAAAAGAATGGATTTTTCAATACAACTTCATAGATGCTCGAAACTTGAGCGTGCAATCGCTGAAGTGCAATTTCCAGGGGGCTATTCTCATGCGCGAAGGACCGAATGCGCGAAAAAACTTGTGTGTGAAAAACCGAAAACAAAATTAGCCGAAAGTCAATTTTTAAAAAAAAATTTGAAATTGTATTGAAAAACCCATGCTTTTGCCTAAAAACAATTATAGTCAGTTTTAAAAATTTTTTTTGAAGTTGTATTGAAAAACCCATGCTTTTGGCCTAAAAACAATTATAATCTAATATCGTCCATTATTATACGATACGTTTTGTTACAACTAATTTTTTTAATCGAATACAATGGATTGAAATGTTTTCTATTTTGAGTGATGCATAATTGATTATTTTTCCGACTTCCGAAGAAAACGGGGAATATTAATGCTTGGGGTAGTTTTTTTTCAGTCATTTTTTTTCTACCCTGGTTTTTCTATACCATCTAGAAGAAAGTGTTTTCTGGAATTCAAACGTAAAAACGCATAGGTTTGATTTTTTTCACAAAGGCATAATGTTTTGAATTTGGGACTACTTTGGCTATTAAAAGTCACTTTTGGATATTAAACGCGCACAATATTTCGTTTTTTTAAGGTGAGCGTCAAAATACATCCTTCTAATTTGAACTGAGGCATGCAGTTTGCTTCTATCAAAACGCTAATTTACGCCAAATATATCACGTTAAAAGTTACATAGCTTGTGGGGATAAATTTCAGAAATTAAAAACATGAAAAAAAACTTTGAACTTTTTATATGATTATTTTACCAAAAAAACTTCTGATCGACAAAAGAATTGCAGTCGCAAGGTTTGAGTTCAGGTTATTGTTAATCAATAGTACCCTTGAGTTCAGGGTATTGTTAATCACTTATAATTTGTAATTTGTTATAATGTTTTGAGGCAATGGGACAGCCATTAAAATCTATTGTATATAATGGATTATAATTCATCGAACCTCATTGCAACTTTGCCATTTGTTTCAAAAATTTAGTTCTCAGCCATTTACTACTTATTTGTATGCCTTACGATTGTCAATCAAGTAAATTATTTTGTTGGGAATAACGACTGGCAAAAAATTAGTTTCTTTTTCCATTACACTGAAAAGTCAATTTTTGCCAATTATCATATCGTTCCTCATAGAACTTGAAATCTGTAATAATTGAAATTCGTGTAAAAAAATCTAAAGAACTGCAACTTTTATGACAGAAAGCATCTTTTTGATTGCACATATATTAAAAAAACGAGGCAAAGTCCATTTCAGTTTTTATTGCCTATCATTAATCAACTTACAAGAAATAACTCGCTAAGGCACAAAAGTACTTCAACACTTGAACAAAATTTCAAACTACAGCTAAGTTTAAGAAACTTTTTTTAAAGATGTTTCAAATGTTTCAGCGTAGTTATATCAAGACGGAAGCTAACAATGAATTATCAAGATCCTCGACACCAAGGATATTCTGAAAAGACAAATTTTTCATAATCCATGCTACCATGTATACCTTGACTAGACCTTATATAATATCCCAAACTTTGAGAAGCATATTTTTGGGGAATGTACTTACTTGTGAGATGAATATGTTCCAAAATCTTAGAAAGTAAATATGGATATCTTGACAAGATAACAATATTACATGGATAATCCTAAATCAGCCATGATATTGCCGAGGTTTTCTATTATCGAAAATGTCGGACCTGATTTAGATTCTTCCGCTGAAAAATAACCTAATAAACCGGAAATGGAAATCCAAATTGCCATTGATTCCAGAATTATTTATCAGGGTTATGAGCCTCAAAAAGGGTTATGAGCCCTTTTTGATATATCTGAAATCGAACCCAAGCTAACATCCCCCAACCAAAGCCGTTTAGGGGTGGTGGATGTTAACTTGTCTCTGATTTTAAGTTTTCAGCCAATCAGAAGAGAGCATTTTACACGCAGCGCTTAGCAAATTTAATTTAAATTTAACGCTGGGCTGGAGGATGTTAACTTTGTCCCTGAAACCATAGTCAAAATTTTCTAGAAAAAGCATTGAAATTGTTTAGACTACCAGCTTAAAAATTACATCTGATTTCCTTAAATTTTAGGGCAAGAGCAAGGGTGGAAAGGGATCCAAACTGAGTGGGGTGGAGGAAGGTGATGAGGATGGGGAGGGAGGCGCGGACGGGGAGGGGGAGGGGGACAAGAGTGCGGACGGGGGGAAGAGTGAAGACGGAGAAGAGGGTGGGGAGGGAGGCGAAGGCGAAGATGGAGAGGGTGGGGATGGCGGCGGTGGTAAGAGCGAAGTACCAGAAGACGTTAAGGCAGTGCTTGAGCAGGAGGTCAAACTGAAGACTGAAGAATACGAACAGGTTGGACATATTTAAAAGTTTCTAAATTTTGTGTTTCAAAGCGTATTTTTGTTAACTCGTTGTGAAAACTTGAAAAGAAATATCTGCTTTAAAAAAAATCAATCAGCGTTAAAAAGAAAAAGCCACGAGACAAACAGGTTAAAGAAAAGCACCAACTGTAGATTTTTAAATAAGTTTTTGTTATGTAGCTCCAAATTATTTTGTACTTGGTGTCAAAAAATATGCGCCAGCTGAAAATTGATTGATTTCGAGCCATCAAGAAAATTATTTGGTAACTTGAGTGATGTGTAATCAAATCTGGTTTTGACATTCGCGGGTGGATGAACTCTCGTTTGACCTTCAGGAGAGGAACAAGATGGTGAAGGAGATAGATGCAAAGGATGACAAGATAGCGAAGCTGACTCAGGAGCTGAAAACTCTCAAGGCACAAATGGAGCAGCATGGAAATAAGTACAAATCCGCCCAGCAGGACGGCAGAAAAGCCATGGAACAGGTCACCGAACTCAACAGGTGGGCTACCCGAATAGAAAAAAATGCAAATTCACCAATATTCGTTTATAGTTATAACCAAAACTTAATTTTTGACGAAATCTACAAAAACTACATTGGTGACCTTGAGCAACTTAAACAACCGAAAATAGTGCTTTTTAGGTCAATTAATTTTTCAATGGCAATGGCGTGTTGAAATGAAGGAAAAATCATTTAATTCGATAATTCGCAGCAGGCGTCAAAAAGTAGAAGTTGTGAATCGTAATAGTATAAATTGAAAGTCACTATAACTTTCATGTCAAAATTTATCGTAACGGAGCGAGCGGTCGCTATTTTTCCCGCCTAAATGAATAGTTTTTTTGTAAACAAGACTCTATATATTTTTTTATTGCCAACTTTAATGAAAGAAACAATGGAACGTTGATAGATATTTTGTTTCACTTAGTAACTAAAATAACAAGACTGCTCGTATCAGGGCAAAGCCCTGAATGTTCCGACTGCCTTTAGAAAAATTAAATCTAAAAAAAAATGAAAAAAAAATTGGTAAAAAAATTTGAAATTTTTTGTGAAAATCATCCCCCCACACGCCATATAAAGTACAAATTGATAGATTTCACTTCTAGTATCAAATCAATTCTGGCAAATAAGTTTCCTTTAACCAATTTGGAACGATTTCTAAGACGGATTAAATCTACGCTTACGCGTTAATAGCGCGAAATATATCGCGCGTTAATTGTCCCAAATTGGCCAAATTGACAACTTTTAAACCCCCGTAACTTAACGAAAAATGATCACAGGTAAAATATCTTTTCAAATTTGAGCTCAGGACAACAATACCTTTCGAATGATATTAAAAAATCCGTCAAAAATGGCTAGTTAAAAAGTCGAAATTTGTCTGAAGAAAAAAAACCCACCCCGAGCACAAATATTCCGTTACTTTCGTTGCGAAAGTCGGAACAATAAGTCTCTGGTCTGGTTATATCATAAATCGTAGTCAATCTGGTCCTAGAATTAAACTATAAAAAGAAGTAACCATATAACTATATGAAGGAGTAAAAATAAAACGGTTGATCAAAATGAAAAGGTTATGGATAAGACAAACTATATAAATACTTATTTTATATTTTCAAAATTTTTCTAAAACTTATTTGATGTTTCTACATAGTTTTGCGGGAAGATAGCGGAGAGAAAATTAAAGAAAAAGAGAGTCGAGTTGCATGTCTTGGAAATTAGGGTTCGCTGTCAATTGTACGCGGTAGTTGTGTGTCCGGCCCAAGGGTGGTTATCCTATGTTCTTTTGGAATGATTTAGTTAACTTAGGAAAATAATTTACTTCAAGTGTGTGAGAAGTTTTTAAGAAGAGGTTTTAGTTTTTTGAAGAAAGAATAATCCAAAGAGTAGAGAAAAGCAACCGTCTGCTTGGGCGAAGAAGTTAAAGTCATTGAAAAAGC